TTAGGTTCATGTATCGAGGAATGGTGCATGACGGCGTTACGTATGAAATGTAAGGTTATTTCTACCAAAGTGTTTATAACGAATGGAGATGAATATTCGCCACCTAATATAGAAAGAAAAGTGTGGAGATTTGCTTGTTTTCCATGTTTATCAGTACAACGTGTGATGTATAAAGTAAGTAGTATATTCAATAAAACAAGTTCTGAGTTCTGGCCATATTTTTATTGTTATGTTGGTCAAGAAAGTGTTCGCCAAATAAAAATATATGCAACACTTAGTAAGCCACGCACACTAGGCCATAACGTTGGGTCTCGAATCCTAAATATGGCCCCGTATGGGTTTTCTCCGGATCCTCTGGTTTCCTCCCATTACTAAAGACCCCTGCGCGCATGCGAATTATTGAAATAAAATAGAACCATATGCTAGTCCCAAAATGGTCTAGCGTGTGTCGAGTGGACATTAAACCCCATTTTTGTCCCCCTCCCTACTAATTACTAACAGGAGCTATTTTTGTCAATGTCACCCAAAGTATTGCAAAAAGTGACCACGAGGTTGGTTACTTCTTGTAATACTTTGGGTGCTATTGACAAAAAAACACTCTTGTAATTTCATGTTTAGGTGGTTAGTAGGACCGTGCCCTGAAAGATGAAATGAAATGAAATGGGGTTTAACGTCCTACTGTTCTGCTCCGATTGGGCTAATGAAGATGGGCATACACCATACAGAGTGCTATGGGGGAAATTTTGCCCGGGCAGCGGCACTATGGCCTACTCTTATATCGAATTCCACCTGCCAAGGGATCTTTTACGTGCACGCCAATGGATACACGGGTTCTCGGTTTTTCGTCCCATCTGAAAAACTAGACAGCGGTCCTTGTGTCAGGCCCTCCGCCCTGCACTACTGACAAGTGGAAACCACGCCGGAAAATAAAGATAAAATGGCTGGAGTGGTAGCGGACGGAAGGCTTAAATATCAAGAAAACAGGTCACTTAATTTTATGTTCATTCATTCATAAAAGATAAACAATCACATAAGAAACCATATTTTTTACTTGAAGGTACAGCGTAGAGCAAATTACGATGATTATTTTGTGAATTTTAACGGAGAACCGGTATCTATTTGTACTGGAAGTAAATTGATGCAGATATATTCAGGTATTTACCATTTTGTGTTTCATTCGACAATTTTATTTTTCAATCGGGGCGGTTAGCACGTGCGCGCTGTATCATAAGGCCTGTCATTGAGTCAACTGGCGTGGTTTCGAATCCCCGGTTGTACGTGACAAGGAGTAGGGTCGCCTGTTCAACCTTGTGGGTTTTCTTCGGGTCCTCCGGTTTCCTCCCACTGCTAAAGACCCCTACGCGCAAGCAAATTGAAATAAAATTGAACCATGTGTTAGTCCTGAAATGACCTAGTTTTTGTCAAGTGGACGTTAAACCCCATTTTTCTTTCTTTAATTTTTCAATGTAAATAATATTTAGGATGACTAATAATCGTACGAACTACGTCTCTGGAACTCGCGTTTTTGTCACATTTAAGTTTTATTTCTTTTATTTCAGGAGGAAATTCTGGTTCAGGAGGAACTTCTAGCAGACGACCTGGTTTGAAAAAATCGGTATCAATCAAAGTGACAACATCAACCCAAACATTAAATGAACGTCCATCACCTTCCCATTCTGAATCACCTGTTGCTTTTATGATGGACGACGGTTGTGATAATCATGCTTTTGATGGCCGGGGTGAAGACTTGGAATCATCGGTCATTAGTCCAACACCAAGAAGTATCAGTCCACCTTATGACCACAGTATACCAAGACCACGGTCCAGAATGGGTGGACACTTCTCAGCCCGCTCTCATATCAGCACGACTCGATCGGAGAAACGAACCAGACTGAAAGCGTTGAAAGAAAGTGCTGATATTCACCCACACAATGCAATCGACGAGACAGTCGAAAGTCAAACAATGGCAATTATTGAGCCGGTGACGCCAATAAACTGTATCCAGGCTTCCACGGAGGTGACTTACGTAACCCAAGAGTCTAACACCATGAAACGTGGAGTGAAGACAGTTATTCATGGACTTGGAGGTAGCCGATTACATGACCTTGAAAGAAGTACCGAAGTCCAGAGCCTTGCCTCACCAGGAAGAGTCCAATCGGAATCAAAGCACAAAATAACAGCAACGATAGAAGAACCTAGACCCCAAACAGTTTTACCACCAGGGTCACCTGAGCTCAGTGAACGCGGATCTGCTAAAGTCAAGACGAAGAAACGCATGGGAAAATTGTTGAAGGAAATTTTAACAAATAATGACTCGAATCATGTGAAGGTGTCCGCAGAAACCACAAACGTTGAAAGCCTTACACCAGGCAAGGAATCAAAACTGATAGTTGTGGGTAACGAAGAGTGTGGACAGGAGTCTAAGCAAACAAATGATATGATATTAGAGACAGTGCGGGATATGCTACCTCCATCAAAAGAAAATACGTATAGTAGTGGTTTTGATGACGCAATGTCTTCAGTCAGTGAAATCATATCTCCTAGAAAAGATCAACCAAAACCTAAACCTAAACCGAAACAATTCTTGGTTGAACCACAAAGAAATATGTTCTTTCCCAACCCTAAAAGAAATGGGCGAGTTCGTCAAGCGTTTTCTGATGTTGATCAAGACGATGACGAGTTTACGGATTATGAACCTGATAGCATTATGTCCGACAACATCGCTGTTAACTCGCCTCGACTCGTAGCCGTGAAAAAATCATCCAAAACAGTAGCCATTAATTCTGTGGCAGTCATCAGTGACCTGGATTCGGATCTTGAGGTTTTGGATTTTGATGAAGAGGAGAATAAGACGAACTTGAAAACGAATTTATCATCCACACCAAGACAGAAGATACTTAACCCAGCTTTAATACGAGGTCCTCGGGGACAACGAAATTCCCGCAGAAGATACTTAGCTCTCAACAGTCTTAGGAAAAAGACTCGTAGCGTTGGTTTGCAACCTCCTGTGAGACGATGATGATATTGTCATTGGTGCTATAAACGTATTTATATTGTAAATTATTCATTATTTATTCATTTCATAATTTATTTCCATTGTATTATCAAGATAGCAGCAATATCACATTATCATTGTAGAATTATAATCAGGGTATAGTTTGATTTACCCGGCGTCTTTCAGGGCTCTTGTTGAATTTTATCATCATGTATGAAATCTGTACCGAAGAATTGATATTCTGGTCTTTTATCAGGGATTTCCCGAAATTCATTATCATATTCATCTGTTAGTAATTTGCATCATATCTCTGTTTATTTATGGTGATTTCTTCATCGTTCACTATTGCTAGTCAAGATTACACCCATACGTTTTTCTTCGCCGTCGCAGCCTTTTTTTAAAACCATACATAATTCTAATCTTATTTGAAATTATAACCAACGTATCGCAATGACTTAATGTAAAGAAATGTGGAAATTGTGGATGTGATATTTTATTAACCAATACTCGACTTTTTATCTTTTCTGTGTATTTTCGATTTATATTTTCGCACACAGAAAGAGTAGAGTTTGCGGCGGCGAATCGAATATCATTATGGAACTTTTATGAACAAGAGCCAGCGTTTAATTGTACATTTTAGGAAATTAGGATTCTAATACCCCGCAGAGCTAATTGATATCAAGTAATAGTTCTTGTTACAGCTACATTCAATCACTCTATGGTGACTATCATTGTAAGAATACTTTTTTATAGGTTCTGATTAAAATACAGATCTATATTTCGTTTCGTTTTTTTATACTTTCGATGGCCTACACTACATGAATATCTGAACGGTTGTAGTGGAAGGTCGCGTGGTTTACCCCCAGTTCCGTGTACCGCACGCCAAGAACTCGCCGTAACATACCGTTTCATTGGCTAACCCCTCACATTAACTAGAACGCGGGTTATATAACAACTCTTCCAGACCCTAGTCTTGTGAAGTCCTGTAAAACGAAATTTTGAACTATAAAAACGAAAAGAAATAGGATTTGTGTTTTATTAATCAGATTGGTATTTTCAATAATTTCGATGACACCGCAGTCATAATTTTTCGCTGCATTTATGATTGCTTTGTTTGTATAAGTTTTCGTATCAAAGATCCCGTGACCAAAAACTTTATTAAATTGTATTAATTGTTATGTATAGAAATGTTTTTAAAAAATATTTTCATCATTTTTAAATGTTGTATTTTTTTCACAAATATAAAGCAAAGTTCGAATACTTTCCCTAGGGTTTCCCGATAAAAAATCGTATACTTTAGATCCTAAAGGTGTCAGACTTAGTGTAGGCGTATATTTGTTGGCTGCCAACGTACGTTATGTTCACTGACCCCAAAACTTGTCTACGTGGGAGTTTGGGGATATTCTTTGTTTTCTCGCACAGGGGGCACGGTGGCTCAGTGTGTAAGACAGTGGTGCTGGACGGAGGGCCTGGCAAGGGAAAACCTGTAGCTGTTCGGATGGGACGAAAACCCGAGGTTCCGTGTACAAATTGGCGTGCCCGTAAAAGAACTCTCGGCAGTTGGGGAGGTCGCTGTCCGGCAAACTTGATCTCATAACACCCTGTATGATGTCCGTCTTTATTAGTCCAGTTGGACCAGAACAGTAGGACGTTAAACCCCATTTCATTTTTCACACTTCCCGCACAACTGGAAAATGGGAACGGGTTTGAATTCTCGAAGGCTATAAAAAAGAAGTAATGAGGGGATCATAGATGCTCATCGAAACGGGGAACGCTAGATCGGAGACTGTGCTGCACATATGTGGATTAGGCGTCTTCATTAGCCCAGTATAGGAGCAGAACAGTAGGACGTTAAACCCCATTTCATTTCATTTCATTTAATAATTTGGGGGCGAGGTTAAGTCTCCACACAAGTACTAATCTAGGATGATGAAAATTTGGTTCGTGATATTTCCTAGTTTTATTAAAAAATACATTCTCCCAACGAAACTTTGAACAAAGAATATAACTAGATATGTTTTAATCTACATAAAACAATATATGTATTATATAAGTGTCTAAAAACACTAAACTTCACTCAAATAAGAGAAAAAATAAAGAGTCTTGTAAGTATCAATCTCAAAAAAAGTATAAAATAAAACACAAGAAAACAATATATAATAAGTTACATTTGGTCAAGCAGTATTGCGATTATAAAACGCAGGTGTTTAGATAAAAGCACACTAGCCCTAATTACGTGGCATTGCACAATGAATAATTGTGTACGACAAATCATTGAAGTCCGGTGGCATTTCAATACGTGACATAAAAGCAATGTTTGTTTGAAACTATTAGAAGATTGATGATTTATTATGCTATATTATGTTAAAGTTTATGTCGACGATGATGATGATTCAAGTTGACACCAAAACATATTGTATTTCCACAATGGCGAATTCTTGCAGCAACGCATAGGCGTGCGAGCCAGGGGGGGGGGGGCAGGGCAGGGGGGGGGGGCAAAATAAAGTGCCCAAAATGTAATAAAACACTAATATTAATTTTCTTTTAATTGAATACCACGAATTTGTAATGAATTGACTATGGATAAAACCATTGACTATGGATAAAAACCACTGACTATCGATAAAACCATTGACTATGAAGCAACTCTACTTTGTGCAACATTTGTCGGGCATCGATTATTATTGTGAATGCAGCTGCAACAATCCAATTGGATGGTTGGCATTCAGGTCGAAATAGGGTGGGATTTCGATTGCAAAACGATTGGGAAATTTGGCGTTGATTAACAAACCGGTGAGAATAGCAGAAAAAAGCATTTGCGGCGGTTAAATTTTCAAAAAATTTTCGGGGAGGGCGAGACCCCCCTACCGTGCTCGTGGTTTGTGACCCGATTATTTTTCGGGCATTTTAGGTTCTGCGCCCCCCCCCCCCACACCCCGCCCCCGTAACGTTCATCAAGCCAGTACGCCTATGCAGCAACCCGATTCAATACTCTTCGTCTAGTTTTATTTTGTCTAGCTCTTTCAGTGTTGCATCTAGTTCATTTTCATTGGCAACAGCATTTTCGTATTCATATTTTTCTATTAATGTCTGAATAGATGGTTGTTCGTTTTTAAATTTACCACTATTGGCCATTTCTAAAGCTAACTTGGATTTAACCAATGCTATATCGGGACGGTTCCGTTTTTCGCTCAGAACGGCTTTAGCAATATAATAGAACATCTTCCTTCGAAGTTCCATTCCAGTCCACGTTGCTTTCACATTTTTCAGACAGTGATGTGCTGCTGCTATATCAACTTCCGACACACTGACATGTTCTATAACTCTGCCGAATACGTTAAGCCCGAGATAAATATTCGCCATTCTCAAATACAACATCCGGGTAAAATCTTCCTTTACGGCTGAGTCTTCGTGTTCAAACTGACCCAGTGCCAGACGACAGCGATTCAACATATCAGTTTTCATGTTCTCAGTAGTCTCGTTCTCGTATTTCCTCACCATTATGTCAATTTCTTGATAATAGACCATTCCAGCCTCCTTACAGGGTACTATGTGTTCCGAATGCATCTTGGCATGCATCATTTCAGAAAGACCCGCATCAAGTGGTTCAGCTAAAATAACGGCAGCCCCGTGTCGTGCGATGTAGGACATGCTGCTTAGTATCGGATTAGACGTGAATGGAATGATCTTGGTCATATCAGCAAAAAAAGGATGGTCATACATGCTGGCATCGTTTTGGATTCTGAATGTAGCAAGTTGACAATCCCGGACGGTGAACATGAAATCCGCCACCTCGGCCCGTTTGGCGACATCTGTTTTATAGTCATGCCTAACTCTTGACCAAATCTGCTCAACTTTGTTGACCTGTTTCTGAAAGTCGTCCAGATTACCGCAGTGAATCAGACGTTTTAAATAGTGTCCAAAATTCTTTACTTTCCGTCTACTTCCGGTGAAGATGTCAATTCGTGTTGGTTTGTTTCCATTGGAAGCCATTGATTCTACTTGCTTGACTTCCGTTTCTTCGTCGTTTACGAAGCTCGTCACTGACAAAACCATTTCTGCTAAGTGATTAAATGAATTGTTGTGACGTAAAATATTCACAAATGTCGGAACAGAGCCCATGTCCAGGATCTTAATGATAACTAAGCTAGCTTTTTCTTCAGTACTTCCGGTAGACGCTTTCATCTCCTTTACTTCTTCTGGTGTCATAATTCTCTCCTGTATCAAGGCAGGCGTGACGTATTTGGGATCAAAGTCACGAGTAAGGTTACAGAAAATTGAATAAATGGCATTACGATCTGCTTCCTTCATTTTGAGGTATGTTTTATGAAGACAAGTATATCGTTGACTCTGTTTAAATGATTAATGTCTAATTATATTGTTTGTAAGGCACATAGTGATAGGAAACACTGATTGAAAAAACACGAACACTACTTTACGGATAAAAACAATAACCACCAACTTTAATTGAACAACGTTTTTACCAGTACCCTCTTGTCGTTATCAACGATATGTGATACAAAATACCAGGTATAAGCAATACTCACTGAGTCACCGTGGCTCCTCCTGCTAAATGTAAATTTAATTATATTGTTTATAAGGCATTTAGTGATAGGAATAACACAAACACAACTTTATGGATAACAATCACTAGTAAGTTTAATAGTGCGACGTTTCTACATGTATCTTCTTGTCATTATCAAGTACAGGGTGAACCATAATATGATACTAAAAGCTGGGAGTCAATGTCTTGCCAAATAACGTAATGTGTATCCAGCTTCACAGATGACCTCCTTTAGTCTTGTTAGAACCGATGCAAGGTTATTTTGGGTATGATGTACTGTTCATGTTTTAATTATTGTAAAAACAAACCATCATCTTTTCTTTCTGTATTCTTTATTGTTGGTTTATCTAAAACAAACAGGAAAGAATACAGATCAATACATCGTCACTAAACAAGGCAGTCTGATAATAAAACAGATCTATTTTTTATACTTTCGATGGCCTACACTACATGAAGATCTATCACTGAAATAGATGGTTCCTTGGTTAGATTGTATTGACATGGAAGCTAGCCATATATCAGCCCATAAAATTATACGCTTTCCTGCTACTAACATAGACAGACGAGAAACTCGTAGTCTCATTCCAACAAAAGTATATACACTAATTATGTCCCTTGCTTCCGATTATCCGGTAAGTGTAAAATGTCTTATTTTATCACAAAAACGAAATTTGTTTAAACTAAAATGACATATTTGGCACGAGGAACGTTCAAATAACATAACGTGGTATTAATGGTGATAATCGGTGGTTATTTGAAGCTAATTGGTCGTCTTCGGCGATGAAAAGACATCGTGTAAACAAATAAATAATTCTATAGGTAGTGGCCTATACGTATTTAGATGCTTATGACTCATAACAGTATTAATAATACAGGATAAAGTCATATTTCAGGAGAATATAAATTTAGCAGGATGATAATATCGATCACTGCGAACTAATATATATAAAACATATAAATATAGCAATCACTGTTTATAAAAGGGAGAGAAAGAGAGAAATGGGGTTTAACGTCCACTCGACACAAACTAGGTCATTTCGGGACTAACACATGGTTCAATTTGTTTCAATAATTCGCTTGCGCGTAGTGGTCTTTAGCAGTGGGGAGAAACCGGAGGACACCCACGAGGTTGGACAGGGGACCCTACTCCTTGTCACGTACAACTGGTGAATCGAAACCATGCTAGTTGACTCAATGACAGACCTTATGATACAACGCGCTAACCATTCGGCCATCCACCCCCCTAAAGTATATAAAACATATAATCGTGTTGAATATTCTCTACTATATCCATCTGTATCGATATACATCCTTTACTATGAAACGGTTCTAATGCCACACATGTCACCTCTTTCTGCTATTACAATGGAAAATATAAACATTATTAAAAAACAAATACACGGCTACTTACAATGTCTGTAGAACATGTATTTTTGTTCGCTCTGTTCTCTACCCGTTTGTTTATTTTTGCACCTGCTTGAACTAGCGTAACGTGACTATATTTCTTAAAATAGAATTACGGGGATTCCGTAGTTATTGTTTTCTAAAGATTTGTCATAAATCGTCCATGTGGAACCAGTCGTACGTCATACTGCATATTATCTACTTTATACATACAAGTGGAGCTAATTGTGGATGTTTGGGATAACTACCTCCACAAAAAGCTGTTTTTTTTACCCTCGTAGAATTCCTCGTCAACACCAAAATACTTCGATAATCGTCCAGTCTATAGGATAATCGTCCAGTCTATAGGATTTACTTATGTGGGAAGCGGAGGGACCAACATGTTTTTGGTCAGTTTATGGTGGAAATTTGTAAGGTGAGGTGACAGATTATTTTTTTTTTTTTTTTTTTTTTTTTTTTAAAAAATACATTATCGAATCTTGTGTAGTTGTAATGTAGTGTCATACTGTCAGGTCGAAATGGAATAAAGACATACGCCTAATTGTTTTTTTTTTTTGTTTTTGTTTTTTTTTTTTTTATAAAGAACATTTCTTCGAAGCGATCATTCAATGTAGGGAAAAGGGTTTTGTGAGGTTGTATATTAATCACGATAAATGAAACATTGACGATACGATACTACACTGGATGCTCTAAAGTATAAAGTCTTCTGTATGCTCTAGATTATAAAGCCTTCTGGATGCTCTAGATTATAAAGCCTTCTGGATGCTCTAGATTATAAAGTCTTCTAGGTGCTCTAGATTATAAAGTCTTCTAGGTGCTCTAGATTATAAAGCCTTCTGGATGCTCTAGATTATAAAGCCTTCTGGATGCTCTAGATTATAAAGTCTTCTAGGTGCTCTAGATTATAAAGTCTTCTAGGTGCTCTAGATTATAAAGCCTTCTGGATGCTCTAGATTATAAAGCCTTCTGGATGCTCTAGATTACAAAGTCTTCTGGATGCTCTAGATTATAAAGCCTTCTGGGAGCTCCAGATTATAAAGCCTTCTGGGAGCTCCAGATTATAAAATCTTCTGGGAGCTCCAGATTATCAAGTTATCACCCAATTGAACCAAAACATCTACGCGGTGTTTATGTTCATGAGACGAAGATGCCTTTTGATTTTCAACGATTTGTGATAATCATCATCCGATTGACATAAACCTAAATACGATGTTTATGCTAAGAAATTTCCTTCCAGAGTTATGGTCCTTGATCAATTAATAAGAGATCTGGTGAACGCTCAAGATGGTAAAGTTATCTTTCGAATGCTTTTATATTTTGGTGGTCATGAGAAACCTAGAAATACCCTTCAGGTGTTGCCCTTGATCACTTTTTAAGATCTTGTGGAACCTCTAGTGGCTAAATATATTTTTAAATTGATTTGAAATTGATACCCATTGTGTAATTGGTCTAAAATCGTGTAGTAAATCTAATTTAATTATTCTTAATTCAGATGCGGGATTGGATGGTCGAATGGTTAACGCCTCGGTGTTGCATCATGAGGTCTGCCATTGAGTCAACTGGCGTGGTTTTGATTCCCCGGTTGTACGTGACAAGGAGTAGGGTCGCCTAACCAACCTCATAGGTTTTCTCCGGGCCCTCCGGTTTCCTCCCACTGCTAAAGATCCCTACACGCAATCGAATTACTGAAATAAAATTGAACCATATGTTAGTCCCGAAATGATCTAGTTTGCGTCGAGTGGACGTTAAACTCTCTCTCTCTCTCTCTCTCTCTCTCTCTCTCTCTCTATTTCTCCGAAATTGTAAGGTTATATGAATTCGTTATACATCAAGGTTTATATTCGTTGTACCGGGTGACACAAAAAGAGCGTTCATCACCTAAACTTGAATAACGAAGAGGGGTCGTCAGGGACCTCCAGTGGTTCCAACAGGATAGTGCCACCCCCCACACCTCAAACGAATCATTGGCAGGGCTACAGCAGCGTTTCCCTGACCGACTGATCAGCCGCAGGTGTGACGCGGAGTGGTCGTCGCATTCACCGGACTTGAACGCCCCAGATTTTTATCTGTGGGGATACCTTAAGGACAGGGTGTATGGCAACAACCCCCAGACTATCCCTGATCTGAAGGCAGCAATCACAGCAGCAATAAAAGCGATCCCAAGGGAAGAATGTGGGAGGGTCATCGAGAACTTTGCCCGCCGGATCCAAATGTGCTTGCAGCACCGGGGAGCTCGTTTAGAGCACATTTTTTGAGCGCCAGTTAAACAAAGAGTTTTTGTGGTACAGACTTGAAACTTTGGAGATGTCTGCTACATAGACTTAACCTAATGTAGCTGAATTTTTGTGTTAATCTAAATAAAATTTTGGAAGTTATTCGATTTTTATTGATGAACGTTTTTTTTTGTGTCACCCTGTATATTAAATCATAAAGATGTCTAATTTCTGAAAATGGGTTATTTGTATTTGAATCGACGACCGTATGTGATCTGTGACGGGAGAATTATAGATTTTCTGCATTAGAAGTCATTCGCTTCGGGAAAAACAATGATTTATATCTACATTGAGTATAACACTTATACCCATGTGTATCAGGTTACACCACTGATGGTTGGAAGCTGTGACGTATCATGAGGTCGGCGGGACCCAATGACAAGATGGAATCCTAGCGGGGGGTCGGGGGGGGGCACCCCCCGGGGTCGTGCAGGTCCTCCCCAGAGTAATGTTTTGAAATTTCGACTTGAAATAATAGTCTGTGGGGTATATCCCGGGCGGGAAGTCATATACTATAGTAAACTATACATGTAGTTCTAAGCAGTTAGTGTCTCTCTAGATTAGTGGCCTAATAATTTCAAAATTCATCGAAAAAAGGCCTCTTTGTTTCACGATTTTTGGGAGATGGGTCTTCATTATTTTTTTCTATAAAATATAAAAAAGTCACAATATCACCGCCCCCCACACACCTAAATAACAGTAAAGAAAATCACCTGTCATTGTGTTTCTATGAAACGTGTAAATTAAAGGTTTTTGTTGGTTGGCCCAAGTTGGGGTGATGTGCCTGGTGTAATTAAAGCTCTTTATTGGTTTGGGTGATGTAGCTGGTGTAATTAAAGCTCTTTATTGGTTGGGGTGATGTAGCTGGTGTAATTCAATGTTATTTTCGGGTTTAGATGCACCACAAATCACCAACGACTCTCCGAAACCATATAACCTGCGTCCGCCCCTGAAGCGACTATAAACTGATAATAAGGCGATAACAGATCAGCCATCATGTGATTTATATATATGGAATAACCAGGTTGATTTACAATACTTCCGTTTGCACATCTAACTTAATATAAAGCTAAAATTTCATACATTGAGTACCCAAACAATCGGTGAGCTATCAGTTTACATTAGGTTGTAAGCACAAAGAATAGGTATATTATGTTCTCAACCATCTAACTTGTAAGTGTGTTGTTAAATCGTGTGTAACCGGAACTGCATTAGCATATAAATAGAGTATTTTATATAGTAGATAAACAATATTTTAAATATAGAATGGGAATCTACCCATGCTTCAATGAAATTATTGAATTGGACATTTCTATTGGCTCATATTAATTCGCGTGACAATATTAGATTTTTGCCATGCTCCATACACAAATTGTATATAGGTTATGGGCTTCTATGTTCTGTTTTTAACTCAATATAAGTCAATACTACGCATACCTACTACAGATAAATCCTCAAGAATGTTTGCCTCACCTCCATCCACAGCAATTTTGTAAATAAATTGTGTATGAAAATGAAAAATGAAATGGGGTTTAACGTCCTACTGTTCTGTTCCGGCTGGACTAATGCAGACGGTAATACGCTATACAATGTGCTGTGAGGGAAATTATTTTGCTCGGACAGCGGCACTACAGCCTACTCTTTTATTGAATTACAACTGCCAAGGGATCTTTTACGTGTACGCCAAAGTTATATTTTTAAAATATATTAAAATAAAGCCTTAAAATAGACGGTATCTATAAACAGTCCTACCTTGTTAAAGAATAATCCTATTAATCCTATAATTCACTATTGCCAGTTGAGAAATTGGCAAAAATATCATTTTCAACTTCAAATTCAAACGTTTGAAGATAGCTATTCCATGGTGGGGAATAGGAAAACAGGGGGAGGTAATTGGGGTAATTGTGTTATTAATTTCGGTGTGAAGATTTTTAAGTGTGAGAAAGATAACCTATGATCGTATAATAGTGAGTTGACAACCTATTGAGCAAAAGACATAGAAATAATTATGGTTTGACTTTCTTAGAAAATATGAAATTGTAACTTTAAAAAAGGAGTGTGTGTGTGAGAAATAGCTTTATTTAACGTACCATTAAAAATAATATAAATCACTTTATATTCATAGGGCGGTTGGATGGCCGAATGGTTAGCACGTGCGTGTTGTATCATACGGTCTGTCATTGAGTCAACTGGCGTGGTTTCGATTCCACGGTTGTACGTGACAAGGAGTAGGGTCACCCGACCAATCTCGTGTTTTTCTCCGGGTCCTCCGGTTTCCTCCCACTGCTAAAGACCCCTATGCGCAAGCTAATTATTAAAATAAAATTGAACCATATGTTAGTCCCAAAATGACCTAGTTTGTGTCGAGTGGACGTTAAACCCCATGTCTCTCTCTCCCCCTCTCTCTCTCTCTCTCTCTCTCTCCGTCTTAAAACGCTCTAAGATGTACAGATCTACGAATCGTTTGTTAAAGGCCAGCTGAGTTTTTGTCAAGGTCGCTGAGATGTAAATAAGGTTAGGGCGTGTGATTGTTGGCGAGATTGTAGGTTAGGGTTAGGTTTAAGACCTATGAAAATTTAGTTCGTGATATTTCCTGCCAGGCCCGTAGTCAGCTCATAAAATTTGGAAGGGCTACGGAATTTTTTGGAGGGGCTGAGGATGTTGCCGGCTAAGAACGCTCCTAAGAAATCATTATTGTTGGCGAAATAATGGGGGGGGGGGGGCTAATTCCCCCCCACCCCCCGTGGCTACGGGCCCGTTTCCTGGTTTTATTAAAATACATACTTGCGCTAGCCCTGTTTACATCTCGTGACCTATGACGAAATATTGAGCTGGCCTTATCATTTATGCTTTAGTGGTTTTAAAACCAACACATTTTGTACAAGAAAATCATAAAATGCGTTTGACGTCACCAAGTTGTACATTTTCTATAAATAACGAAACATGAGACAGTGGCGTGTGATATAATAATGTGTTAATCAAGTTTTATAATAGCACTATATAATCCATAGACTATTATACCACTTCGCTACATCTATGTAAACAAACTTTATTGAGAAATGTCGAAATTCTCGGAACTGAAAGCTATGGCATATTTTACTGCAAAGAGGCGATTTCCGGAGAGATAAATAACTAAAGCCTAATTTAAAGAGTCCAACAATATCTATATCTCTAAAATACTAATACGTATATTCTATATTTAAACTTGTTTACTTTGGGGCTTACCCTTTTTTTTTCTTAACCCTGGTATTTACGTCTTCATTAGCCCAGCTGAAAGGTAGGACGTTAAACTCTATTTTATTTCATTTCATCTATTTCGAATCCAACTGTCACTGGAGGGGGGGTGGGGTGTAACAGTTTCCGTAACTGTAGTACATATTATCGAGATATTTTAAAACGTTATATGGCGTATTTCGCCATAAACAAACACTTCGAAGACTGGCCTTGCTGTGACAATCTAATTCTTATATAATATGCAAACTACGACAAGCTTTGAACTTAATATATTCATTTGAAAGCCGAACCAATAGTTTATAAAGCAGTTTTCTTTCCTAATAATTTGGCTTTTCGCCTGATGGACTGAAAGAAGGATTCATAACACAGAGATAAATTAGGAATATTAAAACAACACATTGTAATTAGATATTCTGGGTTAATCGGCACTGACGGAGTTTTAGCAAATGGAGCATATAGTTATTATTCGAATTATTTTTTACTTTCAGATTAACACCACTCAAATTCTATAGACAGAACCATAACCATAAAAATAACAGAAATTTGAGGAGTAAAGAAGATTTGTGAATTGATATGATTATGTTAGAACATTGAATGTAAAGACTAAAACTGATCAATGCGGTTTAAAGATGAAGCCTCAACTCGAAAATTATTTTGCTTTTATTATAAACCAATTCCATTTGTTTGTTTTACTAGAACGACTTGTGGGAGGTTTTCAGTTCGAATATCGGCCCAAATAAACAATCGATTAAAATCAATAATTGATCTGTATCGATAACTATAGGTCTTCACGGATCGTCATTTAATATTTAAAGTTATTTTAAGGTAATTACTCTTTCATTTCCTTTGGATGAAATTCATCCCTGCTTCCCTGCAAAGATATTGTGTCTTACCCAAAAAAACCTGAATCAAGCCTATTTTGTGGCTTCCACTGGCAAGTTTCTTAGGAAACACTTGTCTACGATATCACCCTTGGTGGAAGTGGACGTAAAACTCCAGAAACCAACGAACGAAGGAATTAGATGACATTTTCGCAGAATGAAATCGCTATTAAAGACCATAATACGTACAAACTTTGGCTACTATTCATCCAATATCAGCTATTTGGATATTATGATTCCTATGGTAGAATTGAATGTCTTGAGTAATGAAGAATATTTTGCTATTCTAAATGAAAATGGTTCTTGGGATAAAAAAGCACAGAAGGTTTTGTACTATATAATGGAAAGAACTGATGTGAGTGGCTTTGAACAAATGTTGAGGTACAATAATGCTCATACATTTGTTATAAACAAATTTATAGAACAAAAAAATGAAGCAATGATCAACCACACACCCCGAGAGAAGGGCATCTGTCGTATAAGCACTGTTACGACACGGTATAAGAAAATCAAACAGTTTGGACTGGGATTAAAGCAACTAATTCACTCGGGAAACCAAGATGATTTCAATAGGGCCGCACAAGCCGTGCATGAAAAATGGAGGACTGTGGAATCTTTGAATTCACGCGATGAACAGGGCGTAGTTTCGCAAAAAGAGGTGGCAGATTTGTTATTTTATACACTGGATGCACAAATAGAAAATTTAAGGGTACATTTCGACCCGAACATTTATAATCATCAGTATTTCAAACAAATGGAGCAAATGATTAAATATACAACGGAACCCCACGTTAGTTCTATGATGTTTCTGGCGCGCTATGGTTCGGCTTTAACACACAAAGAATCGTTAGAAAAGGGTATGTCCGAACTCGCTTGTGCTTTGGATCATTCTCGACGTGTTGAGCCGTGTAAAGAAAGTGGCATGGTATATTATATAGAAATAAATATGCTTTTTAAGAAATACGAAGCTGAAGGCCAACTGTCTATAAAAGAGGAACTGTTAGATAAGACAAACGTAGCCATTTCCCAGTTTGAAAATGAACAATGGGAGATCAAGGAGGATTATAAAAGAATGTTGCTTTTGAAACGGGTGTATGTTTATCTTGCGTTGGGTGTCCATGGAGAAGAGATGAAGAATATTTCATGGAAGTCCGAGGATTTAAACCAAGCCAAGTATTGTTTAAATGAAATTAAGGAATCTGAATCTCAACTGGACGATAGACGTCGAATGTTTTACTATACAGCTGAAGCCATTTGGAATGAACGAACTGGTAATGTTGAACGAGCTCTTGGAACAATAAAAGAAGCTCTTAGTTTGGCAAAAAGGGGTCAATTTACAAAAGAGGAATCTGCTATCAATGAGCACATTAAACGCATGATAGGAAAAAATGAAAAGAGAAAAGGGGATAGGCGACAGGAAGCACTCAAAAACATGACAGAAATTCTCCCAGATATTAATAACGCTTTGACAGTAGGCCTAAACTGCTCTCCAGGTTCTGTTTGGCAGGTGCGTCCGTTTCTTTGTCGGGTCTCATGTATTGGTTTCTGTTGTGCGGTCTTCTTGAGTTTATTAATTGGATATTTATTTGTATGATAACTAACGTTCGAGCGTAGCAGCGATCCATTTCAATTCCGGGCACTACTTTTCAGCGACAGCCCATGGGGGCCTCATTCGGCGTTTTATACGATTGATCCCATTGTGAAACAGGGTCGTAGTGTTTAAACAACAGACGCTTTGGCCAGAACGGAATATGTATGAATTATACATTTTAATATGTAATCACGTATTGGTTTAAACATGGACCTTATAATATATATAAGGTCCATGGTTTAAATTATTGTGCTTGGATAACTGTAGATTACCAACATTTTGTTACAAAATATTTTATGATCAGGATTTAGACTTCCCAGTCGAATAAATCGGTGTACAATTAATGTAGACTCCTACGTAAGACTTTGTAGATTACCGGAATCTGCCGAGGTTTGCTGAGTGGCATTTCCCACACTGATCCGCAGCGAATAAATCGGTGTACAATTAATGTAGACTCCTACGTAAGACTTTGTAGATTACCGGAATCTGCCGAGGTTTGCTGAGTGGCATTTCCCACACTGATCCGCAGCGAATATTTGCTTGGCCGCGACACTCGTAATTCTCTGTGAAACAGATTGGGCATTTCCTCGTGTTTGGATTAATCCAAGTGCTGCTAATATTGCTCAATTTATGCTGTGTTTTAAGCAACGTGTAGAGATATAAGTATTCAGGAATGATATGGTTTCATTTCAAATTCCACAAAATACATATTTTACATTTTACTTATTTTCATGTAAACCTTTGACATTATTTTTTTGTGAATGGTAAAAATCCTCTTTTATAGTATTTATAATTAAAACTTTAAATAAGTTCAAACTATGTTAAGATATATTTATTTGCGTTGAAATGAAATGGGGTTTAACGTCCTACTGTTCTGCTCCGAGCTGGGCAAATGAAGACAGGGATACGCCATACAGAGTGTGCTATGAGGGAATTTTGCCAGGACAGCGGCATTATGGCCTACTCTTATATCGAATTCCAATTGTCAAGGGATCTTTTATGTGTACGCCAATGTGTACACGGGACCTCGATTTTTTGTAACATCCAAATGACTAGACAGCTGTCCTTGTCAGGCCATTTATTTTCGTTAAATAAACGTAACTTCTTAAAGTTAGTAACTTTTAATTAAATGTGTACATTTGATATTATTAGCAATATCTTTCTGATTTATTAAATGTATACTGTAGGCTATTGCCTTATAGTTATATATAAACACAGGCCCTCTGATTTCCTCTCACTGCTAAAGAGCCCTACGCACAAGCGAATTATTGAAATAAAATTGAACCATATGTTGGTCCCGAAATGACCTAGTTTGTGTCAGTGGAATTTAAACCCCATTTGTCTCTCTCTCTCTCTAAACTGTCTGTTCGCTTTTAAGACTTAATTTATGGCCTACTCCTATCGAATTTCTAATGCCAAGGGATCTTTTACGTTCATGCCAAATGTATACACAGGACCTTGGTTTTTCATTCCATCCAAATGACTAGGCAGCTGTCCTTGTCGAGTCCTCGGTCCTGCACGACTGACAAGGGGGAAACCACGTCGGAAAATGACAAGAAGGACGACTCTTCTATTAGGATAGGTTTATGCATATAAATATCCATCCTTTAATCAATCTTTTGACACAATTTGTTTGTTTTGCCCCCCCCCCCACCAGTCTAGATCTGCCATCTTGATACGACATTGATGAAGACAACCTTTTTCTCTTCTCTAGAGGTGGCGAATGGCGGAATAGTCAAACAAGTGTGCTTTAGATCGTGTTAAATCCGGGGGCATGGTGACCCAAGATTTTGCATAAGGTACAAGATCCCCCCCCCCCCCCAAAAAAACAAAAAAAAACAAACCAAAAACAATATTAATATGTGTGTGAGGGGAAGGGGTGGGGTAGCATTCCCCATGCTACAGTAGATTTGTAGCATATTTGACCCATAGGTTGGGCATTATGATTATGATTGTAATGTTGAAAACCGCATAATTTTTTGCCATTTGCGAGGGGTGCAAAAGATCAAAACCATGACGTAAAGCTCGTCATTGCGTCCCTTTCACTTAGTCCCTGGTCAGTGGTGGCGCCAGGGGGGGGGGGGGACAATTGCCCCCCCCCATTAATCTGGTCTGCCCTCTGTTTGCCCCCCCCCCCCAATAATTTTAGAAAATAAAAAAAAGTATTTGTGACACATTCTATGAATGGCATTTAGTAATTGGAACATAATCAAAAACACACTTTTATGGATAACAATTACTATGGTTTATTTCACTGCGACGTTTCAACAAGCTATTTGTGTATATGCTTGATAACGACTTGTGAAACCTTGTTGAAGCTCGTGCCTTTGCCCCCTTAACCTTGGACTTTGCCCCAGCTTTGCCCCTCCAATCACCGACGGCTGGCGCCGCCACTGTCCCTGGTTAAATCATAGTCTGTTATTGAGTCAAGTATTATGGTATCCATCCCAGGGCAAGGAGCAGAATTACCTGCATAACCACGTGGGTTTGTGTTTCTTTCGACTGCACAGGTGTTATTATTGAAATAATGACATCTTACATGATATATGCTGGTGGCTGGGGGGTTGGATGGCTGAATGGTTAGCACGTGTCATTGAGTCAACTGGCGTGGTTTCGAATCCCCAGTTGTACGTGACAAGGAGTAGGGTCGCCTGTCCAACCTTGTGGGTTTTCTCCGGGTCCTCCGGTTTCCTCCCACTGCTAAAGACCCCTACGCGCAAGCGAATTATTGAAATAAAATTAAACCATATGTTAGTCTTGAAATGACCTAGTTTGTGTCGAGTGGACGTTAAACCCCATTTCTCTCTCTCTCTCTCTGCAGGTGACGTAATTTTAATTAGGGCTAATAAACATAAACAATGGTATATTTATAGATTTTATTATCATTTGATGGGTACATGACATCGTACATTTTGATTTTTATGTGTGATGAATGTATAAAAACTGATGTTACATACCGTTATATACATACCGTTTGTCTTTACAAAAATTTACACATAAATTTACATTAAGATTAAAAAAGTTGTAAGTCACTAGAAAATCAGCAGAGATATTTGCATACAGGCTATATGTAATCTGAGCCTAAATTATATTCCTTGGCAAACGATTGTGAGTTGTCTCCCTTGCCATTGTACCTTGTGAAAATATGCTTTAATAAAATTTTTAAAAATCTCATATCAACTACATGTACACTTACAAATAAATATCGTTCTTTTCGTTTCATCACCATTAACACCATTTATTAAGAAAAAAAAACATAATTAATATAATCTCATCCGAGTGTTAATTAATAAATTAGGTCTTTTAAAAAAAATCTATAATAAAAATCTGGGATAAAAGAAAAAGAAAATATCATACAAAAATTAGAAAATAAGATATATATTCATTTGATATTAAAATAACTTTAATCATTAACATCTTAATAATTATTCATCATTTTCTCCATTCCACATCATTTGCACTCAGGATTTCAAAGGTGATATGATAATGTCTATGTTATTTACAATGATGATATACTAAAATATGATATGGCATGTCCAATAAAAAAAATTACATTTTTTGTACACATAATCTTTAAGTTTTTTTTGCGTGTATTGCAAGAAAAATAAAACTGATAAAAATATAAATAATGTTAATGTACACAAGAGAAATGTGTAAAAACACTTAAGTTACATATTGTCTATTTTATGCACTACTTCCAATCCTGATTGAAACTTATTTTAAAAGTCACCAAATCCTGATTATTTTGTCTTTTCAAATTTCACTATAGTCTTTAAAATTAATATAAATAAATATATTTCTCCAGCATATTAACACAAACTAAACTATATCCAAGGATATACTTCACAAATAATCCAATGAATCATTGTTTTTTTAATAAGAAATGAGAATCACAAACACAGTCTTTTAGATACGGAATTCCTGTGGATCAGAAAATGTTAAGGCAATTTGTCCATTTTTAATGGTAATTCTGCCTGGTGTATTATGACCGGAACTGGGCGCGGAGTTCATCTGAGAGCTGACAACAGGAGAGATTGAAGGTGTTCTTGCGGCTAATGGAGAGAGAGATGGTGTAAACGAAGGTGTTAATGCTGGGGAGGTAAAACTAGATTCGTAGCTAATAGGTGAACGAGGTAAACTAGGTAAAGATGTATCCATAGTACTAGCACGAGCCGAATGATTACTACTAGCGGAAGAATGACTAGTTCTATTCGATACAGGTTGACTTATAGCTTTAGGGGGGGTATTTGTTATCATGGGTGGTGGCAACATTTTCACTTGGGGATTCAGTTTATTATTATTGTTTGTGGGTCGCTGTGGCACAGTTTTTATGGGTTGTTTCTTGGGTGTCACATTATCGTCTTTTAATTTCGCGATTTCTGCAAACACATGAGCAAGGGGTTGGTATTGTGGACCCCAGTCTAATAAATAGTCCCAGTTATAAGATCCACTATATTCTTCCTCACTATTAATAACATTAGAGAGAGCACCTGCATGTTGTTTTTCTGGATTGGGGAAGTCGAGGACACGATTTTTATCAATCATGGCCACTTCATCGTCCGTTTCCCCATCAGTTAACTTGCTATAGTCAATACCTATATCCCCCTCCCCACCACCTTCATCCGAGAAATGATGCATACTCTCCACAGATTGAGCCACGGTTTTCTTCTTATTTTTACCTATTTTAGTCGAGTCTATTCCGAGGCGTGCTAGATACTCCTGGTGATTTTGTACACTAGGTTCGGACATGCTATCGTCGTCTTGTTGGATACCGGAATCCGGCATGACTTTTCTACGTAAATAACCTTGAGAATGATTTAAAAAGCTGTTGGAGTTGATCATACGTATCTCTTCGTCCTCATCTTCTTCCGCAGAACCACGACCACTAGATGCTGAATTATGGGAATGATTTGAGATGTCAGAACTAGTAATGTTTGCGATGTTTGGGTCGAAAACATTAACCTCCCTGTAAGGTGGAGGTCGTGAATTTGGGTGTAAAACATGTGGTGCCACTTGATCGAATGCTGGATCGTAATTTCGCGTTTCAGCAGCTGGTGTTTTCTTCTTGGTGTGTTTACGCTTACGAATCAGTAACACAGCTGCAATGACGATAACAATTAACACGACTATGATACAAACCACGATCACGAACGCCAGAGCAAGATTACTTAATCCACCAGGTGAAGTCTGGGGAACATATTTACATCCATCACAGGTACGATCAATAGCCACAGATATAGTTGCTGTTGATTCCAGAGAACCATCTAATCCTGATGTTGCCACGACAACAAGAGATGTTGATTCATCCGCTAGCGCTCTCTTGTATCTGTTGGAAGTTCTTTCACTTTCTGGCACATCTTCATTAAAATTTCGAGCCACACTTATTACGCCTGAAGACGCATTGATGGCAAAATAATCGTAGCTGCTGGAAAATTTAAAGAAATAATAAACCATGCCAGCCTCTCCACCATCTTCATCAGTCGCCATAACTCTTCCCAAAACATCACCAATATCAGCATTACCAGGAATCTCAAAATCGTACGATGTCTTTATGAAGGTTGGTTCATATTCATCATCATCCCTTATTCGGATCGTAACATTTGCTTCACTTTGTAAACCTCCCCGGTCAACTCCTCTAATCTTTATTTCATAAGAGTTTTTAGATTCATAATCAAACGGGGCCTTTGTTCGCACATAGCCAGTGTCGTAATCGATGGTAAAATAATTGGAATCTAAACCAGGGATGATGGAGTAAGTAACTTCTCCAAATATTCCGCTATCCCTATCATTGGCATGAGCTTGAAATACGATACTAGTTGCTTGACGATTTTCATACACTCCTTCGATATAGTGATTTACTGGGAATTTGGGCTTCGAGTCATTTATATCAGTAACATTTATATCCACGGTTACGAATGCCGAGAGTTTAGCGATATCTTGTGGACATGATTTACAGTCTACAGCACGAACAATTAAACGGTGGGATTTGAAACTTTCGTAATCTAGTTGCATCCCGGTCATGATGGATATTCCTCCAGTTGATCCATGGATTATAAACAAACCCTCGTCATTGCCAGAAGTTATCGTGTATTGAATCTCAGCATTTTGACCAATATCCCCATCTTCTGCTTCAACTTTTTGGAAAACTGTATCCGACGTGTGATTCTCTGGTATTTGAACAAAATAATCTTTTCTCAAGAAGTATGGAACATTGTCATTGACATCATTTACGATGATTTTCACATCGGCTATAGAACTTTTAACAGGTCTACCACGGTCGGAAGTCATTACTTTCAAATTATATTGTCCAACATATTCACGATCAAGCTGACCATTTAGAAATATTTCTCCGGTTTTTCGACGGATTTGGAAGATGTCGGTACTGCCACTAATTAAATTGTAATCTAGATTATCTTGACGATGTGTATCATCTTTATCTGTTGCATGAACTTGGACAACTAATTCTCCACGATAACTAGCTTCACTCATGTTTACCCTGAAAAAATAAAAAGAAATATCCATTAAAAACTAGTACCATCCACACAGTGACATTATCGTTTCATTTATAACAAATAGTTAGTCATTTTAGTCATTTATAACAGATAGTAAGTCATTTAAAACAAAAAGTAAGTCATTTAAAACAAAAAGTAAGTCATTTGTAACGAATAGCAAGTCATTTATAACGATTAGTAAGTCATTTATAATGAATTACACAGGACTTTCCCTCAGATAAGGATGTGCAACTCAGTGGCACTATTATATTTTGCATAATGTATATAAATGAGGGACACACTTAATGTTCATTCGGCTGGTGGGCACAAAATGATTTTTTACTCCACTTAATAATTTTATATTTTTGTCACCAAACACCTAATATTTCAACTAATACTTCCGAACCATGTGTGTACGTTATTGTGACTTACGGGAAAATTCTGTTTTCCAAATAATCTCAATAATTCCTGTGAATAAACAAACAAAAAAGTTGTATTGTACTTACAAGTAATTATTTTGTTTAAAGACAGGAGCATATTTATTAATGGTGGTAACTTGTATATGTACTGTTACCATTGATGATAATTTTGGCACACCATTATCTTTAGCCGTTATAACTAGTTGTAACATAGATTCGGAGGACGTGATGTTTAATGCTTTACTTGTAAATATGGTACCTGAAAGAATTCAAATAAAACATATTTATAAATGTCTATCTTTAATGATCTAAAATTATATATACATTCATTTATACAGACCTTTTTCTTGCACTAAATTATGACATATCTAATTAAAGTCATAAGTCACGTGGACAAGTTTTAAAAGTCATCGTAGACTCGATTGTCTACCTAGCGAAATATAGTGGGTATTGCCACTGGTAGACGGAATCTAGAGTAGTCAACTTTGATCCCAATTATTTAATTCCAACCTATTTCTCACCTTGGTGTTATTATATCTACTGAAAGAGAATCGGTTTCAAACGAGTTATTTGTCCCTGTGCTGGAAATTGGAATCAGACCAGTAATTTGATTATATTACGAACATGGACGTAACAGATTTTAGACAATATAGTTAATCATAGATTAATGTTATTTTTGAAATATTTTCCATGTTACAGGTGCTTGTGGTTGCTCTAGGAATATCAATGACATCCTACTTCCCTCTAATTCATTGTTAGAATACAACCTACCATTATTCTGATCAATGTAGAAACTGTTTAAAGCATTGTCTGTAATATAGTATGTTAAATCAGCATTTCTACCTTCATCTACATCACTAGCATTAACTGTTAACACCTGTTGATTACTATAGGTTAACTCAGGTAAAGTTACCTGTAAATAAAATAACGGTCATAATGTTAAACAGGTTAATCCTTTAATCCTTTTATAAATAGAGGTTTAAAAGAAAGTTATATTCAAATACATTCTAAACTGGTTCCATAGCAAGCTTTTTGTTTTATTTGTTTCCGAAACTGTGGTTATCTCCCTTTAATGTTCATTAACATATCAATGTGACCTTCGATGTCTTGCTATTAATGAACAAATTATGCAGAAGAAAATAATTATTTATGGCTACAATCTACATCTGATTTTAAAACATCTTTGATTAAATTTTCTGTCAAAATGTCGAACCAATGATGCTAGAAGACGAGTGTAATTACCTGATAACTTTGTTGATTAAAGACTGGAGGGTTATCATTCATATCTTCGATATTAATATCAACTTGAGTAAAAGCAGTGTGTTTTCCATCAGATACTTTAACACCAATCATATAGTGTTTACGTAGTTCATGATCCACAGTTTTACCTAGAGTTATCCTTCCACTCAGTCTGTCAATATTAAATGTATTTTCTGGGTTTCCGTCCGTAGAGAAATCATAGATTAGACTATGATCTGGATCAACGTCACTTGCTGTTACTGTTGTTACATGTGAACCAATATCCATATCTATAAAATAAATATTACATACATTATTATAAAGTACAATAGGCCAACTACGCTTTAGATCCAGCATGTTACATCTCTGCTAAAACACACAATGAAAATAGTTTGACACATAGTTGATTTTGCCAAGATACCTTTTTATTTTTCTCGTAAATAAGCCTAATATTGGAGAGATTTTAAGTAACTGGAATCCCCTCTGACCACACCGCGGGAGCCACGGCGGATAAGTGGGTAAGACACTGGCTGCTAGTCTGAAGGTCGCGTGTTCCATTCCTGCATTGGTCCAGAAAGTTCATCGGGATTTTCCGACACAGTTTCCCCTTCTCAGTGGTGCAGGGACAAAGAACCAAGATCCCGTGTATACATTGGCATGCACGTAAAAGATCCCTTGGCAGTTGGAATTCGATATAAGGGTAGGCCATAGTGCAGCTCCCGGGGCAAAATTTACCTTATAGCACATGTCTGTTTTCATTAGCCCAGTCGGAGTAGAACAGTAGGACGTTAGACCCCATTTCATTTCATTTCTGATCACACCTCTAAGCCTATTATCAAATGATTGATACTGTAGAATTTTACTTACTTTCTTTCAAGAAGACCGGATTTTGAGGTGGAAAGTATGGCTGGTTATCATTTTCATCTATAATACTGATACTAAGTATACAGGAACTAGACATCGGTTCTTCTCCTTCATCTATAGCTTGTATAACTAGACGATAATTATCTCTAATCTCACGATCTAGTCTATCGATATTAGTCTTGACTATACCAGTATGTGGTGGATCTATTACAAAGGCTCTGTCTTTATTTCCACCAATGATGTTATAAGTTATTCGACCATTAAAACCGCTATCAGCATCTTGTGCCATTACCTGTTCAACAAATATAATATTAAAATTACCTGTTTAACAAATATCATATTTTAATAACAAATTACAAAACTGTTAGCTATTCGAAATCTCCCCCAGCAAAAAAACCTTTGCCAACAGACCTGTAAATGTAGTTCTGCAATCCTATTTTTCATTTTTGTCAATCAACACAATGGTGAGAGAGAGAGAGAGAAATGGGGTTTAACGTCCACTCGACACAAACTAGGTCATTTCGGGACTAACATATGGTTTATTTTTATTTCAACAATTCGCTTGCGCATAGGGATCTTTAGCAGTGGGAGGAAACCGGATAAAACCCACGAGGTTTGACAGGCGACCCTACTCCTTGTCACGTACAACCGTGGATTCGAAACCACGCCAGTCGACTCAATGACAGACTTTATGATACAAAATAATTAATAGAATACAGTATCAAAATCCATCGTTTTATCCAACGTTTCGTCAGTAAAAATACTAACTTCTTCAGGGAATATCAAATGCATCATTTTGACTTAGTCAAAATTGATCCCATCAAACCGTCTGTATTTGGTTTGTGTTTCCTGTTTCTACTGATTGGAAGACTTTATGATACAGTGCGGGCACGCTAACCATTCAGCCATCCAACCCCCCTAACACAATGGTAGTAAAATATACTGTAAGACACAATCTGATTGTAATACAGGTCAATATTTCCTTTCATTTTAATACTTTCGATGGCCGCTACTACATGAAGATCTGACCGGTTTTAGTGGAAGGTCGTGCCAGGGGTCATATGAGTGGCATTTGACCCTATTACATCAGACACTTGATTAAACAATCAGTGTTGATGTTTCTAGTGGGTTACCCACAGTTCCGTGCACTCGTCGTAACAGACCGTTTCATTGGCTAATCCCTCACATCATCCAAAAAGTGAGTTATATAACAACTCTTCTAGATCCTAGTGTAGTAAAGACAAGTAAAACGAAATTTTGAACTATAAAAACAAAATGAAATAGGATCTGTGTTTTAATCAGATTGTATGAGGTAGGGTGTGCATACCTGTGCCTTGACATTATCTATCTTTATATTTTTTTTTAAAGTTCCAATCTTACCCTTGTAACATAAGTCTCTGGTTCATTATTCTCCCATACAGCAGACACATATTTAGTCTGAGCAAATTTTGGTGCATTATCATTGATATCTGTTAGGTTAACCAATACTCCAGCATAAGCAAAATTATTATTCTGTTCAGCTGATACAACCATATGTATACTGTGACTGACTTCATAATCTAATTTATCATCATTGGCAACCTGTACTTCTCCTATAAACAAAACAAAATACATAATTATCATAAACTATTTACAACACATTATCTAAATTTAAATAATGTCAAATATAATGCAAGTCATTTTGAAATTGAGAGAGAGAGGGAGAGAGAGGGTTTGACATGAACATAAACCCAACTAGGTTATTTTGGTACTAACAGATGGTGAATCTTTTTCACAGTAATTCGTTGAGCATGATCCTTTAGCAGTTCAGGAGGAAAGTACTGGATAATAATCTACAAAGTTAGGCAGACTACCAAAATATGACAAACATATTTGTATGAATCTATTAATCTTAACCTTGTCTGGAAGAACCTATATCCAGGAAAATTTTCTATGCTTATGTAAAGTGTTTCTTTGCTCCAACATAAACATGTCTGCCACTGTTTTGGCCAAAGTAACCACAAATATTATGATTGCTTTAATGTTAATAAAAGGTTACACTATATTTAACCTACCTGTATTTTCATCAACGGTGAAGATATTTTCATCATTACCATTAGCAAAAGCATATTTAATATTGCCTGATACAGTGCTGGAAGCTGATAGCCGTAAAACGGGCGTTGATCGGGATGAATGTTCAGCTATAGATTTAAAATATTCTGATTGACTGAAGGTTAAAGGTGGGTTTGTATTTCCATTACCAACAGTTATTTCAACAACACCTGTAATAAAATAAAATATATTCAGACATTTACTCAATGGTTATTTCATAATTTGTCCATACATAATTAGTCCCTACACAACTGTGCATACATAATTTGTCCATACATAATTAGTCCATATATAAACCATAAGTCTCAAATATGTTCCTAATGCAGACCTCTAAATACATCCATCACCTTTAAAAAAAATAGATAGGTTGCCAAGCAACGAAAAATACGTCCACAGCAGCTAAGTCTTCCAGGCAGTCAACAAGTGTTGTCGCATATTTTTTCTTTTGTCAGTAATGAGAACATTTACAACACATGAAAATCTGATTACGAGTAATAACCCATGAAGTAATTATCAGAAAACATCACAATTTGTTTCAATTGTTTGTCTCATGACCTTAAACAATTTATATGGTGGAACTTGCCTAAAAAGAGTAAAACCTTTTTGATTTTGGTAAATATAGATTATACAATTGATATTTTATTATCGATTAGAGATGGGGGAAAGCTCAAATAAAAGAAATTTCCTTTTGGAATCATTTAAGGATTCAGCAATGCAGCTTGTTTACTAATATTACTTTCAATTTTGTCTTACTGCGAGAAACGCGTAACACAAAATCGGTTAACAATAGCAGATTTACATTCTACATAAATCAAACACAATTGTCAATTTTATTTTTTTTTATAAAAATCAAAGAGGTCTACCCAATTTAACCATGATCTATAATAAGAAATTCAAATACATTCATCTTTTAAAATGAAATAAATGTTTTACCTGTTGAGCTCAGCTGTGGACTACCATTATCTCTAACAATAACTTTCAGATTATGATAACTAGGTGCCCCACTTAGAGACTGTTTAGTACGAATTTCTCCAGATGATGTAACAATCTTAAAATACTGTAGACTTATAGATCCAGATTCTGACTGTAGATTATAGGTCAATTGTTGGTTCTGTCCGAGATCCGGATCTGTGGCAACTACAGTTATTACTTGTTGGTTACTGCCTGTACTTTGTGGTACGTCTACTTTATATGGGACTTGTTTAAAAGCTGGAGCATTATCATTGACATCTTCTAGGGTGATACGAACTGTAGCCGTGGCATTCCTTGGACCAGAAATTCCACCATCATGGGCAATGATTTTAAAAGAGTAGAAGCCTTTCTTTTCTCTATCAAAATTACTGTAAAACAGATGGCAATAATTAAGAAAACATCCCAAGATGGCTGGTTATTGCCTCCTAACATGACTAATATCTAATCAGACATTTCACTACATGCAACTTAAAGGGGCATCATGTGAGATTAGATAAAGAGCTGAGAGTTCTCAATATAATGAAAAGGGAAAATGCTGAAAATTTCAGTTAAATTGCACCACTCTGAACCAATAAATTAGCGACTCAATTTTAGGCCTAGCCTCGATCATCATAACTAAAGTCAGTACGATCAAAAACAAAGTCTTGATTATCCATTTTGACGGTAAATCATCCATCATAAAATGTATTCAAATCCAGTAAATATTGCAGGCTAGCGATGGCATCGAGAGCTGATTATGATCTGGATAAGTTAATTAATGTCTAACATTTCAGGCCTAAAGAAAGACCTGCAATAGGCAGATTTAGCTCTTGCATAATGCATGTTAAAAGGCATGTTCAAGTTGTTTATAAACTGATCTATAATTTCAGATAATTTAAAACTTCGAAACTATATTTGAAAGATTAATTAAATCATCTCAGTTGGCTACTTACCCACTTGTGATAATTTCACCCGAAGTGCTATTGACACTAAAGAAACCCTCAGTATCATTTCCTAGAGAAAATGTAACTTCGCTATTATGTCCATAATCCTTATCTGTAGCTGAAACTTGAAGAACCACTTCACCCTTGGCAACATCTTCTCGAATAGTTTTAGAGTATTCAGGTTTTGAAAAGACAGGATCGTTATCATTCTCGTCTAGAACATGTATATAAACAATAGTGTATCCTCTTCTAGCGGGACTTCCTTTATCTTGGGCGGTGATTGTTAAATTATAGAAGAATTTTTCCTCTCGATCTAAAGAGCTGCATGATAATTCACCTGTGCGGCTGTTGATCGAGAAATGACCATCATTTCCTCCTGAAAATATCAGATAATGGTTAATAACTTTGTTTCCAGGTTATTAGGATGTTAAGATCGATCTCAATAAGTAAAGGAAATGAGATTTGTTTTTGATCAATTTTGTGACTAATCCATACTTGACAGAAATCCTACATGGTTAATTAAGTTCTTATCTGGTTGATAGAGAAATGGGGTTTAACCTCCACTCGAAACAAAGTAGGTCATTTTTGGACTAACATATGGTTCAATTTCATTTCCATAATTCACATGCGTGTAGGGGTCTTTAGCAGTGGGAGGAAACCGGAGGACCCGGAAAACACACGAGGTTGAACAGGTGACCCTACTCCTTGTCACATATAACCAGGGAATCAAAACCACGCCAGTTGACTCAATGACAGACCTTATGATGAAGTGCGCACACACTAACCTTTCGGCCATCCGCTCCCCCCCCCCTTCATCTTTAGAAAAAAGTTATAGTCTTTTGAACAAGACAAAAAGAAATATTTAGTATTGTAAATGCTGTAATATTCATGTATTATTTCTTGATTGGTTTGCTAAGCGGTTTTTACTGTATTGTCAATCATATTACTTACCAGTTATACTGTAGACAATATCAGCATTCTCGCCATCATCTGCATCATGAGCTACAAATGCCATCACCGATACTTCTGGTCGGTTTTCTGGTATATTTAAACTATAAGATGAACTCTGGAATACTGGTGAATTATCGTTGACATCTTCAACATCTATCATAATAGTTGTCATATCATATTGTGTAGGATAACCACCATCTCTCACATACACTAAAATAAACAACAATATTAATACTATTTTGTAAAATTTACATTTTAAGTCTTGGTCATTTTGGAATTATGACATTCTTGTACTATACTAACAGTTGATTCAATAAGTGATTTAGCCCGTCCGTCTTTGTTTTCACATTGAGATATAGATTATGCACCAGATATACAATGTATCTATTTACTAATATGGAAGAGAAAGACTGATAAACCATAGGATTATTTCTTGAACAGTTTTAATCCATACCAATCTAAGCACATTCTTAAACATACACTTTGCCTCATGTAGGATGAATGCATAATAGTTTATAATTACACCGAATATATTGTATGATAAACAAGTTAAGTTTCATCATGGAAACTAAGTTCTAAATTCCCCCAAATTTGAGTTTTCTAAATTCCCCAAATTTGAGTTTTCTAAATTCCCCAAATTTGAGTTTCTAAATTAAACATGCATTATGCAAGAGCAAAATCTGCTTATTACAAGTCTTTCTTTAGGCCTGAAATGTTATCTAAATTATCAATTAGACATTAATTAACTTATCCAGACCATAATAACCTCGATGTCAAGGCTAGCCTTTGATGTAGGCAGGATTAGATTCCTATATGCCGCTAACGGCCAAAGATCATTAAATCAGAAAAAGTGGATAATCGAGACTATGCTGTTTATATTAATGATTTTAGTAATGATAACCGAGACTATGCAAAAATTTCACCGGCTTCTTTCTCAGCTCATAGTGGATCAATTTGACTGAAATTTTCAGCAAATTACCTTTACACTATCTAGTTTTTAACTATTATAGTGAAAATTGCCATCTCTTTATCTTATCTCCCATAATGTATCTTTAAGTATAATGTAATGAATGATGTAATTATTGTGTAATACCTGTGACTGTATAGGTAGCTCTTTGTTCTCTATCTAATTGTGTTTTAGTTGTTATAACACCTGTTTTATGATTGATAATAAATATATTATCAGCTATTCCATCAGGTATCAGATACGTTAAATTACCATTTTCACCTAAACAACATACAACACATGAGTTAGTATAATTAATAAATTTAAAATCAAATAACCATTTTGCATATTTTGTAAAGTGATATTATATATATTGCTAAAAGAATTTATATTGCTATATGTCATGTCAGCAATGGTATTCTGAAATAAAATAAAATTTTCATGTGGAATTAAAAAGAGTTTATGCCCTTGTCATGATGTCAAAACAATACTTTGGTGATTTTGAGACTTTTAATTACTATGGTTAATTAATTACACCTGTATTGCTAGAAGGCGAATTTTTTCCAGAAAGTACTTTTCTTCAAATTCCAAATGCCAAGGGTTCTTTTAGGTGCATGCCTATGTGTATATGGGTGGACCTCAGTTTTTATCCCTTCCAAAAGACTAGGTACACTTTCTTTGTTAGTTCTACAGGCCCCACCCCAGACAGGTGAGAATCTGGTATGACAAAAAGCTTAACATTTTCCCTGGCCCAGTAGAGAGGGTAGCATACAGTACAGGGAAGGTGATGCTAGGTTCCCACTATCACGATTCGTCCTACGATTGAAATCGTGGTTTTAATCGTGGTGATCCTATCAGGTCAGTCGTAACAATCATGTTGACCGTATCGAAACGTAACTGCACGTGGCAGATCATAGACTCAATAGGGATAATCCTATTAAATGGATCGCACAAGAGTGGAAACCCAGCATAAGATGAAACAAGTAAGTATTCACAACCCAATATTTAAATATATTTTACCCAGCTACATGTGATCCAAACTACAATTTATCAAACAATCACAAAAAATGAATATAGCATCTGAGTGAGTATGGTGAAAAAATAATTACTATACGAAAATGACATCAAATAATATGCCATAATTTATATTCTACACTACAACTATATTCTTGTGAATGTCCTCGCCCATGTTGCATTAATTCCTGTGTATATAACAAGCAAAAGTTTTGTGTGTTTTTGTGTTTCAAAAAACTAAAATCAGTCTACTCATTGTTGTGTTTACAAATTAAAAAACCATATGCCACTCAAGTGTAAGTATCATGACAATATTACAGCTAGCAAGATCTGTGTTAAAAGCTATACTAAAATTATAGGAATTAAAAAAGCTGTTAACGTTTGCGACATAAAAAGGTGTAGAAGCTTTCGTAGAACCCTTCTGAAATTATCAAATCTTTCACCTTTATAATTCTGAAGAGGAAGATATCTTAAGAAAAGAGATGGTAAAAGAATCGCAGAACAATATTAAGACAGTTAAAAATCATTCTAATACAATATAATGCATCTGTTAGGAAAATATAGCAAATGAACAAAAAAAGAAAGAAAATAAAATGAAGTAACAAAATTACAAAATGCAATAAAGGAAGTCATAAAAACAAAATGCAATAAAGGAGAAAGAAAATGGAGGTTTCAGAAAGAAATGAAGTAAAGACCATTACTGGTAACAATAAAGGAATTTTATGAAGAAAACAATTAAAAGTTTAATAAAAATACCTATATCAGCATCTGTAGCGGAAACAGTTATAAGAGAGGCACCAAGATTAGAGTTTTCAGGAACACTGGCATAATAGGTTGAGTTTTGGAACTGTGGTGCATTATCATTGACATCATCAACAATAATATTTAACAGTTTATATGATGTACGTTTAGGTGAACCATGATCTTCAGCACTTATATTTAAATAATATCTGTCTTGTCGTTCACGATCTAGTTGACTAGATATCGTAAGAAGACCTGAAAAGGAAAAGGGGATATATCTGTACAGGACCATAACAATAAAAATATCAAATTTAGAAAGAATGAAAGAAAAATATAGAATAAACATATCTACCTTTCTGACTAGAATGCAATCTGATTAAAATACAGATCTATATTTTGTTTCTTTTTTTATACTTTCGATGGCCTACATTGCATGAAGATCTGACCGGTTGTAGTGGGAAGTTGTGTCTGAGGTCATACAAGCGACTTTTGACTGTACGATGTCAGACATTTGATTAAAAAATCAGCGTTGATGTTTCTAGTTGGTTACTGACAGTTCCGTGCACTGCATGCCAAGAATTCACCAACCAGAACACCGGTTACATAACAACTCGTCCAGATACTAGTGTAGTAAAGACAAGTAAAACTAAATTTTGAACTATAAAAAGTGAAACGAAATACGATCTGTGTTTTAATCAGATTGACTAGAATGCAAATTCTAATGAACTGGTGATTTTTATGTAGCCTACCAAATATGTACTATGAGCCAGTATTAGAATATTGTTCACTGAATCAGTCACCATGTTGCTTCCAACAGTGTAATAATGTAATCTTTACAACTATTCTAAGGTTGTAAGTAGTCATGGCAAAAGACAAGGTATGCTAAATACCCGATACCATTACTATTGTTCATAAAACCAGTGTTAAACAGGAATTCGTTCTAAGATGACCTGTGCTTGAATGTTTGATAAAAAGGCGAGTCTTGGGCTATTTTGAATATGACATTATACAAAATTAACCTGAAAATGATAATGTCTCTTTAAAGTGAAGTCACTTTATATTCTGTCTTGTCTGCAGGTTTATCTTGTAGATTTTTGTTTTGTGTGTAGTGCGGTCTTCCTGCACTTACTATTAGGATTTTGATATAGAAAAAAAGAAGCCTGTTCTTACCTGATGTTGAGTCGAGTTGGAAGTAGTTCTCCTCGTTACTAGAGACGATATTATAGACAACCAAATTATTACCACTGTTATCATCGTTCGAATCTTTATCTACAGCTATAACATGTAATAACGGATAACCTATCACTTCATCTTCAAATACTCTCACTGAAGTTTGTGATTCAAATATAGGATAATTGTCATTGGTATCTATCACGAAGATGATGGTCGTAACAGTTGATTCTAGAACTTCATCAGGATATGGACACCGATCTTGGGCTTTTACTATGATGGAAACTTGATGAACTTTTTCGTAGTTGATGTTGTTAGCGATTTTTAGTTGTCCTGATTTACGATCAATGGTAAAATACGATCCATGATCAGGTTCGGGACCTGAGGATGTTTCTGATTGGATCAAATATTCCACTGTACCATTAAGATCTGAATCTCGATCAACAGCTGTATAAGTATACACGACTTGTCCAATAGGTGAATTCTCCTTGATGGTACGAAGAATAATGGGATCCTTTTCAAACACAGGTAGGTTATCATTAACATCAATTACATTTATAGTAACACTGATATTATTACTTCTAGGATAAAAGATGTTATTATCGATGGCCTTGATACCCAGAACATGAGAGGAAGACTCTTCATAGTCAATATCACGAATAGTGTATATTTCACCGCTAGAGATATCCACGGCAAACAAACTAAACACATTACCGGACATAATATAATAAGAAACACGGCCATTTTCTCCAGAATCTTTATCATGCGCTTGAACTCGACCAACCGTGGTTCGGATGAGAGAATTCTCAACCACATCAAAAGTAACTTTAGAAGCATGAAATAGTGGTGCCTCATCATTGTCATCTCGAACTTTGATTTCAATTCGGGCATTTTTTTCCATACTTGGACTACCACTGTCTCTGGCCAGAATAACTAACTGATAGCTGGATTTCTGTTCATAATCTAAGACTTCTTTGGTGGTGATCCAACCAGTTTTGGGATGGATTATAAAGTTCTTCAGACCTTCTGGACTTGTCGTATCTAAAAATAGAAATGAGTGATGTTTGATCATTTGTATTCATAATGGAGTAAAAGACTAATACATAAATCCTCAGACAGTAAACAGAATTTAATAATGCTGAGTTAAAGAGAAAGAGAGAGAGAAATGGGGTTTAGCGTCCGCTCAACACAAACTAGGTCATTTTGGGACTAACATATGGTTCAATTTTATTTCAATAATTCACTTCTGCGAAGGGGTCTTTAGCAGTGGGAGGAAACCGGAGGAACCTGAGAAAACCCACGAGTGTAGTGGTCTTTAGTAGAGGGAGGAAACCGGAGGACTCAGAGAAGACCCATGAGGTTGGACAGGCAACCCTACTCATTGTCACGTACAACCAGGGAATCGAAACCACGCCAGTTGACTCAATGACAGACCTTAAGATACAACGCTCACACGCTCACCATTCGGCCACCCAACGCCCAACCCCTGCCGAGTTAAATACACCATAAACTTACTTGGATCTATCAAATATGAAACAGTTCCATTCTCAGAGGCATCAGGGTCCTTAGCAACCATTTGCAGAACCTGGGTGCCCTTTGGTTTGTTTTCATCCACACTTTCTACATACGGGGGATTTCTCTCAAATTTTGGAACATTGTCATTCATATCTAAAACAACGATTTTAACAGTGGTTGATGTTCCTAATGATGGCTTGCCTTTATCAAATACTTCTATATTCAGTTCATGGTTACTCTTTTCTTCTCTATCCAGAACAGCTTTTGTTGTAATTTCTCCATTATGAGGATTAATCACAAATAGATCCTGTTGAGTGGTGATTGAATATTTCAGTTCGGCATTAATACCAGTATCGCTATCTTGAGCAACTATATTACCAACAGTACTGCCCAATCTCTGATTCTCCTCAATGCTAAAATGATACTCGGACTGGGTAAATATTGGCCGATTGTCATTGAAATCTAGAATATGGATGCGAACAGTGGCTGATGCAGAATGTCTAACTTGTCCGACGTCTGTCACCACTGCTGTCATGATATACAACTCTTGTAATTCTCTGTCCAGTTCTCTTTTGACATAAAGTTCCCCGGTTGGATACATTCCAAATGTTTTGGTGTAAGGTGACGTGGCAAAACCAAAGCTCATCTGCCCACCATGATGCAGAGAATCCAAATCTGTGGCATTAACGTGTGCAAATTTGTAATTCATACCCACACTTTCGTTAACATTGAAATCATATATAGCTTTAGTAAAGACCGGGGTATTATCATTGACATCAACAACATCGATAGTCAGCGTGGCTGTTGAACTCTGTTGTTCGGGTGAACCTTGGTCATGAGCCACAATTTGAAGTTCGTACTCTTGAGTTGTCTCATAATCTAGAGAGTTTTTCAGGCGGATTTCTCCACTCAAAGCATCAATTTCAAAGATTCGATTAGGACTGTTGATTAGTTTGTATCGAATTGTTCCATTCAAACCATCGTCAATATCAGTAGCATGTACACCATATATTGAAGTACCAATCATTACATCTTCTTTCACGGGCAGACGGATACCATTACCATATATGGAGAATCTTGGTTTGTTGTCATTGACATCCAGTATGGTAATGTTCACCTAGAAATAGACAAAAATAATCAGTGAAGTTTTAATGTCAATGAATATGGCTGCTGTGTTAAAAGTTTACATTTGAAGAGTCCAGGGGAAGAACGATCTAAGTCACATTTTTGTCTTTTGGACAAGAATGCTTGACGTGAACAGAACAACGAGTGGGTTTATTTACTTCAAAATGATGTTTAATACGAATCATAATTACCAGTACAACAACTGACTTCTACTTTTCAGTCAAATTAAGGTTAAATAAAGGAAACAATGGACTTGTATTTGTCCAAATGGCCATTTCAGAAAGGCCTTGGTTCGATGTGACTCCGATCGTTTTTACCTGAAATTGATTGTTCCACTGAAAGCTTATACAATTTGCTACCAGATGGCGCCATTAACTCAGGTTCGTTGAAAAAATGACTTAGATCATTCTTCCCTGGGGCTCTTCATTTTTCAAAATAGAAGAGTAGCAAAGTATTCCCTACTTACTTGAGCTGATGCCCAGATAGAATTGCCAGTAGATTCTGCTTGTATATTGAGTAGAACAGAAGGCTTTGTTTCTCTGTCTATGTTGCCCTTGGTATATAATCTACCATTTGTATCTATCCAAAACCAATTCTGACTTCCAGACATAATCTGATATCGTATAGCTGCAATTAAAAATTGATATAAATTATACATTTTTTTGTTAAAAGATACATTATGGGAGATTAGATAAAGAGTTGGCAGTTCACACTATAATAGCTAAAAACTAGATAATGTAAAGGGAATTTGCTGAAAATTTCAGTCAAATTGCTCCACTCTGAACCAAGATATTAGCATTTGAATATTACTAAAGTTGGTACGATAAGAAGCATAGTCTTGATTATCCATTTTTGGATTAAATCATCAATGAGCGTTGAGCAGCAAATCGGATTCAAATCCAGTGAAAATCTGACGCATAAGATGGCATCGAGAGTTGATTAAGGTCTTTTCATGTTAATAAAGGTCTAATTAATAGTTTATGTAACATTTCAGGCCTAAAGAAAGATCTGCATTAGGCAGATTTAGATCTTGTATAATGTATGTTTAATGAGTCAAAGATACATACAAGTAGAGCTAGATGACATGGTAGCTTGAACTTGTCCAACAAAGGTATTGTTGCGCACATTTTCTTGGATACTGAAACTGTATTGGTTAAACTCAAACTTAGGTCTGTCGGCATTTGGTCTGATGACACTGATGACAACATCAGCGGGATTCTGAGACTCAACCCCATCTCCGTCTGTCGCCTGTACTGTAAGTTGGTAAACTCGTTCACCGGGCGGGAGTGTACGGGCAAGGGAAATTACTCCTGAAAGAAAGGAAAATCAACATTGATGTTAGATTGAAAGAACTTGAAGAAAAGACTTCGACAGATGAAAAAACAAGAACCAAGATAAAAAAAACAAATTAATTAGAGAGTGTTTTGCAGGTGCACAAACCTTTCAATTTTTTTTAGATTTTTTATCGATTAAGTTACAAAGGCGGCCTATATGATATTGCAGTTTGATTTATCTAGGCACAAATGATTAAAAATACTTGTTAAAAGAATTCTACTGCCTTTAAACCAGAACAGTTATTGCAGATGTTGTTTGGGGTTTATAATAAAAAAAATTTCCTTTTGCCAAGAACTTTTGTATGAACATCTTTGAAGTTCAAAAAGTTCCAACCATCTGATAAAAGTTACTTAATGTTTGCATGAGGATTTGAAATAAATTTTGTGTTCTTTCCTCTATTTAATTGGCTATTTCCTGAAGCTTTAAAACTGACAAGTAAGTATTTTTATAAACTAAGTGGGCTTTTATACATATGTAAAATACACTACCACTTAGGCAATCTGAATTCAATTTAAAAATTTTTGAGTAAGAGTTATTAGGTTTGGTTTAAATGAAATTAAAGAAAATATTTGTATCCTGTGGAAAATATCTATTTGTATCTTCTACGCCAATTAAGAACATATGTTACAAACATGCCACTTCCAATTTTAAATATTAAAGAAAATTAACCGAGTCAGTACTTTAAGGTCAAAAAAATATTTCAGGTAGCTGCAATTCAATTAAACTTACAAATCGTCAGAATTTCTTTCATTGGGCCACAAATTTGAAATTTTTGTAAAATAGAGAGAGAGAGAGAGAGAGCTGGGGTTTAACGTCCACTCGACTCAGAATAGGTCATTTAGGGACTAACATATGGTTTAATTTTATTTCAATAATTCGCTTGATCAGTATTTACAGAGATATGATGAATTAAAAATTTGTCAAAATTCGGCATCCATGGCAGACGATGTATAATATATAGTCAGAACAAGCCAGTGCCACCTATGATTTTGCTGAAAACTTTTGATGGGCCTCTATTTAATTTGATTTATTCCAAGTCGGGAGATAATCTTACATCGATATTTTGACATTATTTTCGTTTTAGTGGTACATAATCAATTTGAGTACATTTAAGCATGGATTAAGCTGTGGACATTTTGATATTTTCTAAAAAATGGAAATTATGTACAGACTTTAAAAAAACAGACTACTCGCACCAAAAAAACCCAAAAAAACAATCGTAATCATCTTGGGTACAGATTGACAAAAAGTCATTTGATGTGGTATGACATTCATCTCACCTGTGGTTTGTTCTAAATGAAAATAAGATTGACTGTTTCCTGTTTCTATAGAGTACAGAACATCACCGAAACTGTTTGAATCTTCGTCGTTAGCCTGTACATTTAGAATTGTTTTACCCATGGTAAAATCTTCTTCTATATTAACTCTGTAACTCTGTGGATCAAATATAGGTTTATTGTCATTTATATCTGTGACTGTTATTTTCACGGCTGCTGTAGTTTTAAATCCATCTGAAACACAAAAAAAAGAGAAATTTTTAAGTACAAAAGTAATCAAATTAACATTAACTTTATCTTAGAAAATATTGTATTGTTGATTTTTTCATTCAACTGAGAAAAATCAATATACACATTCCTTTTATGATTAATGATAGGAATTGGAAAACAATAAATTTATACGGAATATAATTTTATGGCTGTCACAGATGGATGAAAGAATAATATGTAATAATAATTTCAAACGAATTTAGTGTCATTTTCTAACAGTTCTGAAAAAAATGTGGGGGTGAATATCAAATAATTTGAAAGGTAAATGTACCTTTTCAGAAAACAGTTCTAAAAAAGTATGTGTTGGTGAACATCATTGATGTATCAATTTAGTGTCACTTTCTAACGGTTTTTAAAAAATGTGGGGGTGAATATCAAATAATTCTAAAGGTAAATGTACATAACTAGCAACAGTTATAAAACAATTCTAAAAGAGTATGTGTTGGTGAACATCTTTGATGTATCATTAATTTAATATATTTTTTTCTTTATTGTTGTGGGGGTTGGATGGCCGAATGGTTAGCACTTGCGCGTTGTATCAACTGGCATTGAGTCAACTGGCGTGCAGGTGTCGATTACCCGGTTGTATGTGACAAGGAGTAGGGTCGCTTGTCCAACCTAGTGGATTTTCTCTGGGTCCTCCGGTTTCCTCCCACTGCTAAAGATGCCTAAGCGCAAGCGAATTATTGAAATAAAATTAAACCATATGTTAGTCCCAAAATGACCTAGTTTGTGTCGAGTGGACGTTAATCTCTGTCTGTCTGTCTCTGTCGCTAAGATCAGAATATATGATGGGGAAAAAAGAAGCAAAATATTCATTATTTCAACAAAAGCGTTAATCTATATACTGTAGTTTACAAACATACCTAAATCCCTTGCTTCAACAAGAAAATTATAACTGTTGATTTTTTCATAATCTAAAGTTGAACTGATGCAAATCTGTCCAGAGTTTTCATTAACAAAAAAGTCCTGTTGTAGATTGGAGTTTCCAGACTGCTGATATTTTACTGGCGCACTTTTACCACATTCTGGATCTGATGCCTTAATCTGAAAAAAATCAAAAGAAAGGAACATTAATTTAATATAATTTACTCTCTGAAAATCATAAACAAATGAATTAAATAGTAAGAAAAATAAATGAAATGAAATGAGGTTTAACATCCTACTGTTCTAGCATCTTACCTACTAAGCCACTGTGGCTCCAGTAAGAAAAATAAATGTTGATTTACTGTTATATATATCATATTAAATGTGTATGTAATAGTAAATCCAGTACAAAGGGCTAAAACTCTACCCTACTAGTAAGTTCAGTACAAAGGGCTAAAAGTCTACCCTGATAGTAATAGTAAGAATGTTATTGATTTGGTTGTGTATATCTTTGTATGCTTTTCGATGGTATTATGTGCATATTTTTTGTGTACAAATCTTAACTTTTGAAGTATGTACAATTGATTTTTGTCTACTCTATGAAAAATGATACATTATAACTACTTATATTAGTATATTTATAACCTGATGTGCAACTTGATGAGACTAATTTCTGTAGAGGTGACTGGGGTATATAGTTATCATATCACACACAATGTCTTGTAAATATTTTGCGACTCTAATCCCCAAGAACTAATGATGGATTATCTAATGGTTTTGATCTTCAAGTAGTTAATACTTTACGTATTAAAGATATTAGTCTGATGTTACATATTTGATAATACCTATACAAACAATAACAATGAGAGACTACTTCTCTTGAAGCAAGACCCCTGCCATGTTAAATAAACGGAACATTACCTCCCTTGGATAATCTCATCCATGGGATGCCCTGTCACGCCTGTTGTGGACTGTCTATGTCAACCTCTTTTGTTACCTTGATGGCAGTCATGTTATTGTATTGTTATTTCTTAAAGTGTCATTTTAGCTTAAGATAACTAGCTAAAGGTATTGTATTCTATGAACTTAGTGTGGTCCACACCAATATATATATGTACCACATTCTGATTACAAATTTTAAATTTGAATGGCCATTTCTCTTACTGTTACCTGCATTATGAAATGAAATAACAGTGTTAAAAGTTAGTTTTCATTTTTGAATGAAGTCTGTATCACAACAGGCCTGGGACTGTACAGTGCAGTGGACACTGATTATGCATATTGTGTCTTGTCCATATATTTGTTTTGTGTAATAGTGTGTGGTGCAGTCCCCCTGCATTTACTATTAAAATGACCCAAGATATCTGTCCAATTACCCTATTTTGTGGGGGAAATGGTGTATACCACATCGTGTATACCACATCCTGCATTTAAGCCATCAATATATTCTTTGACTAAATTAAAGCCTTGATCTACATGTTCAATATAAATATCTACATATGAAATAAATGCAAACAAAAGATAAAATTTTCATACATTGATCAACATATCAGTCAATAAAATCTACTATGCAAATAAGAATAAATACAACTTTTGTAAAGTTATATGACATACAAATCCCTCGTATTATCAAGTTACTAAGTAAATAGAAAAATAATGGATATCTTAGGTTGATAACAGAGTTCCTAGTCAACATTTAATACATACTCTTGGGTTATAGAATGCACGTTATCAATAAATCTCTCTTCTAGAAAAAGTAAATAAAAAAACTTATAGATAGGTCTATAGGGTTCACCAGAATAGGTTAATGTGTCACCATCAAACATTGAGTCACAGGATAAACTGTTTCGTGACTATTCTGAATAGACGAAAGTATGGTTTTAAAGATTTCAGGTTTAATATAAATTTTAAAAGAAGGGCCAATAATTCAGGACCAATAATTCCTGTATATTTTTAACTGATTCCATACTTATTATTTTAAGAATTTTTTGGTTAAATGAGTAAAAAATTCAGGTTGATTACCCTACAGAATTCCATTTCAGAATTTCTACATTTTTACCTTTAATGATAAATGAATTACAATTTAGTAGATTTTTTTACCTTTAATAATGATAAATGAATTACAATTAAGTAGATTTTTTTACCTTTAATAATGATAAATGAATTACAATTTAGTAGATTTTTTTACCTTTAATGATAAATGAATTAGAATTTAGTAGATTTTATCAAGAGACTTTAAGTAAAATCAAAGTCTACTTTTGAACAATCAATAGGAAGGAGGTAATTTAAATGTTTTTAAGAAGAGAAATGTAAGTACAATGTACCTTCATCAATGTCATTTTAGGTATTATTTAGTTAGTAGCCAGGGTACACAATACAAATCTAGTTTAAAACGTGTGGACAATACAAAATGGTTGACAGGCAGACGGCTAATTTGGTTTTTGTTTGCCATTCATTGAAAAATACTTAACAAAAGGACAATTTACAGGGAATGAGTTTATGACAAGCAGAGAAAGTTAATACAGTCGTCTGGCCAATGTTAGGTTCAAAATTCAATTTAATGTTTTGTGTTGAAATAAATTAAAATGGAGAAAATTTGTCAGTAAAGTGACAGGTTAAAACTCTTGTGTCAAATTACCGCTTTTATCAAATATCTGGTTTAAATCAAAGATGAGCCTGTGTAAACATTATTGAATTCGAAATCAAGGTTGAACAATAAATGTATAAGGCTAAATATGTAAGAATGAATGTTTAAAATTTGTCAACTACCACTAGAAGGGGATCCCATTAAGTACTAGGGTTTCAGAATATCACAAAGTACTCAATCCAACCCCAACTCCTTTTCAACATTTTTCACAAGCTTGTATTTTTTGTAAAGAGCAATTACCACTGTGCTATACTGGGGTCCACTTGAAATGGCTGTAGTGGTCACTAGATCGGTCCTTTTGTTGACACACCTAAGCTGACAAGACAATGACAATTCCCCGTAACATGTAGTCTCTATCACCTTTCTTGTTTTCAGAATGGTTAATATATTTCTTAATTTCCTCCAAATTCGCTAGTTCGTGTCCAACTTAATCTATCAAGCACCCTCATTACCAAGATGTAATTTCTTCACATTATATCAATATTTAGTTTACATTTGTCTAGTCGATTTTAAGTGAAAAGTCACCATTTTCAAATTATTTCAATCATCAAAATTACTGTGTATATTTACAAAGATTATTTCATTAAGAAAATTACTTTCCAATATCTCAGGATAAAGATAATTACATCCAATATTTGCTCCGTCTCTATCTTGAAAAATATTACCCACAATTATTCTCCTTTATCCAAATCATTTGTCTGCTCTCATGACCTAAAGAAATTTATTTTATAAATGTTTTACAGTTTCGCAGTTCTCTACAAATGTCGACTAATTTGAGCAAATATTGACCGATAATTATTCGCTATTATGACCGTCAGAAGTTTGCGGCGGCAATCAAGCAATGGTTATATCACATTTGGGCTGATAACTTCAGTTTCATCTCAAATTTTGACAATGAGATATCAAAATCCTGTCAATTTTATTTTACAAAAAAAATAGAAGTCTAGGTTCAGTTCATCATTTTTACAGATAAGCAATAAGATATATTGGTCTATTTTCACCTGGTCAAGGAGTCAATTATAGATAGGTATTTTATAGCATTGTCAATACAGGTAAGAACTACTCATCATGGTGGCCTGTTACCTTGTCCACTCGAAGATAAATATGACATGTAATAAATATGATAAATAACTGTTTAAACTGACACATTCTTCACTAAATTGCTTAGTTTTTATTGTTTATAACACTAGGAAAACTGCAAGTACTATGATCTATAGTTCATTCTACTACACCTGCTGGCGGTATCTTAAACACAAGACAGGAAAAAAAATACCTTGATCTATACTAACTATATATCACACTTTTGCAAAACAATGTAAAGCTCTCATTATCTTGTAGGTAATGGCCAATTTTCTTGGTGGATATTTTTTGCCACAAGTTCATAAATAATGATATCTTTTTATGCACACAACAGGTTAGAATTTATAGTTAATTAGAAACCTTAACACCCAAAAATCACCAAGACTCACACTGTGCATTTTACCTTTTTTTTTAAAAAAAAAATGAAAAAATAACCATCATTAAAATGTCAAATAGAGTTTTAATCTAATGTTGAGAGAAAGTTTCTTTTTCACACCTGTTTTATTGAATGCTCATGTTACACTTATAATATAGGTAGTTATCACCTGCTGAGCGGTGGCTATACCTGACCTTTCGAAAGGGGTAAAAAGTGGTTGGTCTTTGTCTAAAATATTTAAGTAAGGGTCAATACATCTCTACCAGGGGATATACTGGTTCTCTTTTAAATTCTCCCACCCAGGTAAGAGTCTCTTCATAATCCCTTCTCATCTCCTATAGTTTCTGTTTGAAGAGGATTTTAACTAAAAACTAATAAACGATCAAACAACAATAAGTTCTGTACAAGCTTTCAAGTGTACAGATATCATATTCTATTCTTGATGAACAACCAATAACATTACAAATTTCAATTTACCAATCATTGAGCCCGACTGGTCACTGCGAAATGATCATTGTTCAAAAGTGACCTTTTCATCAGGTCAGCACAAAATATTTGTTCCCTCACTGAGTGGAATCAATAAGGGTTGAATACGACCTTTAATGTACAGTGTAATACTAGCTTATGTATATTTACTGATTCATAAACAGGGGACCTATTGATTCCCTATCATATAAACACAGTTCATTCAGGGGACACTATCTGACTATTTAGACATGGAGTGATAATTATATAGAATCATACAAGAAAATGAGGGCCCAATATTCATGAACTTTAATGGCATGTTTTTACCTTACACACTCAATATTTTTAAACCATTATTTACTAAAATGTTTTTAATTTACATCAATGCAGCCGACATGTTCATAAATTATCATATGTTCACAGTGAGAAAGAGGGAGAGACACAAATGGGGTTTACCGTCCACTCGACACAAACTAGGTCATTTCGGGACTAAAACATGGTTCAATTTTATTTCAATAATTCGCTTCTGCGTAGGGGTCTTTAGCAGTGGGAGGAAACCGGAGGACCTGGAGAAAACCTACGAGGTTGGACAGGCGTTTTAACAGTGAAGAC